GGCTCAGACGGAGAAGCCCCAGCTCTCTGGCAGGATAAAAGAGCCAGACCCAAGTCTAGACCCCGCCGTGTAGGGGACGACCCCGACCTGAGGGTCAGATGGGGGGGAGGAGAGACCAGGCATCCTGCCATGCTGTGGAGAAAAGCCGGCCAGGCTGGGTCGTGCTCAGACTTGCTATGAGCGGGGGAGGGGAGGGGACCCTCCCCAGTTAACAGACTCTCCCCTTTCCCCAGGGACGGCTATTGGGCAGGGGCTGCGGGAAAAGCCGGCGCTCTGGGTCCCTCAGCAGAGCTCTCTGGGGCCTGAGACATGAGCTCTCCCCCTCGCCGTCTGCCCTGAGCACCTCCTCCCAGAGCCGGGCCGGCAGCATGGAGAAGACCTACTCGCTGACGGCCCACTACGACGAGTTCCAGGAGGTGAAGTGTGCCAGCAAGTACAACAGTGGCACCCTGCCCAATGGCTTCAACCTCCAGCTCGGGGCCGGGGCCAAGAAGCCGCGCCGGGGGCTGCCGCGCTGGACCCGGCGTGAGATCTGCCTGCTCTCGGGGCTGGTCTTCGCGGCGGGCCTGTGCGTCATCCTGGGCTGCGTGCTGCTGCTCAAATACCTGGCCATGGAGCGCGCCGCCTACTGCCTGGAGGACTGCCAGGAGAAGAAGGCCTTCGTCAAGGCCTCCCTCTTCATCGCCAACAACCTTGACCCCACCATCGACCCCTGCAAGGACTTCTACTCCTTCGCCTGCGGCAGCTGGCTCCACCGTCACAGCATCCCCGAGGACAAGCTCCACTACGGCATCATCGCCACCATCGGCGAGCAGAATGAGGAGAAGCTCCGGCGGCTGCTCCAGCGGCCCGTCCGCAGGGGCTCCCGGGCCTCGGCCGAGAGGAAGGTCAAGGCGTTCTTCCGCTCCTGCCTCGACATGGGCGAGATCGACCGCCGGGGGCCGCGGCCCATGCTGGAGGTGATCGAGGACTGCGGCGGCTGGGACGGGCCGGCCACGGGGCGGCAAGCCCGCTGGGACTTCAACGAGCTGCTCTACAAGACCCAGGGCGTCTACAGCACGGCCGTGCTCTTCTCCCTCACAGTCAACCTGGACGACAAGAACTCCTCCCGCTACGTCATCCGGGTGAGTGAGCCCACGCTGGGGACGCCAGGCCTGGGGCACGCCCACCGGGCATGTCAGGACAGCTGCAGCCAGGACGCCTCCGGCTAGGGTCACTCGAGATCTGGCCAGGTCTGTGCTTGAATGGGACATCTCTCAGGAAGGCCCCAGAGAGGCGCTAGGGGGTGCTGGGCTGCAGGGCGCTGGACGGGTGGCCCAGCAGGGGGCACTCTCCCCTCACAGTAAGGACTGCCCCCAATGTGGTGCTAGGGGGCGCTGGCTGCAGAGACTGGGGTGTATAACTCGCTAGGGGGCGCTCTCCATTCCGAGTCAGTGCTGCTCCCCTGGGTTCCTCAAAGATCCAGCGGCCCTGCCCCTGGGAGGCGTTAGCCCTGCAGTGCTGCTTTGACCCCGGGAGTCCTGTAATTAGATCCTGCCTGTCTGAAATCCCCTGACCCGCCACACTCCTTCCTGTCCCAGCCTGGGTCCCACCCCAGAGTGGGCTGCATTTCAGCAGAGGCTGAGGGGTGCCTATTCCTGGAGTGTGCTGTGGGGTCCCTATGCTGGTGGGGCATGGGGAACGCGGCCCCTAACAAGGCTGCCCTCCGGCCCTCAGCTCCCAGGGGAGAGGCGCTCGCACAAGGCAATTCCCCCATGGCTGTAGCCCTGTGCTAATAACAGACGGCTGCAAACGTCCGCGCCAGACGGAGCCTGCCAGCTAGTGGCTCCAATCACGCTCCATGCAGAGCTGAGGAAACACAGCCAGCCTGGCTGCACCACCCGCCGCCCAGCCCCGATCGCTCTGTGGGGCCGAGGGGGCTCAGCAAAGCCAGAGGTCAGCCAGGCAGGTGGTACGGCAACCTCCCCAATAGCTCTGCTGGTGCCCCTCACTCCCGACCCGCAGCCCCTGCTAGCCCAGCCCTGGGCTCCCCACACACAGCTCTGCTGGTGCCCCTCACTCCCGACCCGCAGCCCCTACTATCCCAGCGTTTCTGGTCCTGGTTCCCCTCCTGGTCAGTCAGCAGCACTGGAGCTCCCATCCCAAACTCAGGTTAGTATCATCGATTGTCCCATGGCCTCCTACCCAGCCAAGTTGCTAGACCTCTTCCCCGGCCCCCTAAGCCACGGGTCATGCCCCACAGGCTGTAGGTGGGGGCAGACTATGGTGACCATCCCAGCAGGAGCAGTCATGCCAGCAAATCAACACACAGATCAGGCCTGAGTGTCAGAGGCACCAGCCAATCAAACAGGAGACACTGCCCAAGGCGCCTCCCTCCCCTCGGGGCAGAGCCCATGTGTCATGAGTGTCTGGCTGTCTGAGTCACTCTCCCCTACAGCATCAAGAGATGTCACCTGCATGCCACAAGATGGGCTCTGTGGGTGCCCTGTGCTGGCGTTGCTCTGCCAATGCCCACACAGAGCCCCGGGGCTGGGGGTCACCCCCCCACACCCCATATACAAGGAGCAGCCCCAGTTTTTCAGCTTCAAACAACTTGGCTTTTCCATTAAGGAAAAACAATGAACCAAGAAAGAACCAAAGTAAAGTCTCATAGATTCCAAGGCCAGAAGGGACCATTGTGATCAGCTCGTCTGATCCCTCCCCCTGCATAGTGCAGGACAGAGAACAATTCCTAGAGCCCATCTTCTAGAAAAGCATCGCCACTGGGTTTAAAAATTGCCAGCGATGGAGAATGCACCACGACCCCTGGCAAATTGTTCCACGGCCCTTGGTAAAGCTCCCCTGGAAAGGTTTCAGAGTAGCAGCCGTGTTAGTCTGTATCCGCAAAAAGAAGAACAGGAGTACTTGTGGCACCTTAGAGACTAACAAATTTATTAGAGCATAATAAATAATAATAAATAATAACTAATAAATTTGTTAGTCTCTAAGGTGCCACAAGTACTCCTGTTCTTCTTTCTCCCCTGGAAAGTGCAGCGAGGCTGACCTCCAAAGGGCCCCTGCCCCAGCACACAAGGCCAGCACTCAGGCGTTTTCAGCAAAATGACTCCATGCACCACGGCTCCCAGGGCCCTGGTCACACGGGAGGGGAAAGCCTCAGTTCTGCTGCATTGAACAGGAGCTGTGGGTGTATTGGAACACAACTGGGATCACCTACAGCTTCACAGCTCTCCAGTGACAGCGGTCAGCATAGGGCCCCTGACACACAGATGGACAGTTCCAGTTCCAGCCAGCAGAAGGCAGTGCAGACACACACTCAGCCCTACCCGGCAATGTCTCGGTCTTTGGCTCCCTCTACTGGTCTCACTTGGCTCTGGAAGGCAGGCGCTGAACTGGTGTAAATGGAATCAGAACCCTGCCCGGCCCAGCTGGGTTGCTTGCGAAACAGGCAGGAAATTGACACGCAGGGACGCTGGCGTCTTGGCGTGGGAAGAGGGGATCAGGACACCGGGTGTTGTCCAGGCCGGAGGGGGAGCTGGGCAGCTGAGTGCAACATGCGCTGGCAGAATCAGGGGCACCATTTTGGCAGGAAAGGGCAGGCGGGTGGGGTGGGTGCCTTGGCAGAGCTGAGGGTGGGGAGCCCAGGGCTGGGATAGTGGCTGGGGGAGGGGAGGGCTGTGGGTCAGAATCAGGGGCAAAGGGTGAGCTGAGCTAGGAGCCCAGGGCTGGGCTATCAGGGGGCTGAGGGTCGGGAGTGAGGGGCAATGGCAGAGCTGTGGGGGCAGGGCTGGGATATCAGGGGGCTGCGGATCAGGAGTGAGGGGCACTGGCTGATCTGTGTGAAGGGGAAGGCATGCCCTGTCCCTCCCCCCCCCCGCTTCCCAGCCTATCCCTCTCCCGAGCCGTGTTAAGGAAGGCATCTGCCTGCGTTAATCAGTGGCTCCGAAATGTAGAGAGCAAATGGAACCAGCGGGACCCTGGCAGTGGATTGTGCCCCCACCTGCGTGGCCATTCCCCGCCCGCCTCCGGAGCTCATGCCCAGCGCCGGGCCCCGAGCAGTGGCGGGACTGTTCAATACACAGGTGGCTCTATTCCCCTGGACAGTGGTTCCCCGCTGCGGCCAGACTTGGCAGAGTCGGACGCACGGGCGGGGAGGTTCCAGGATTGCTGGGCTGCCGGCTCCCAGCCTCCCCGTTCTTGCCGAATTACCTTGGAAAATGAACCAGCAAGTGCGATTTGCCGCTAATTGCCTGCTCGGACACAGCCGGGGCTCGTGGGACGCCGGGCTCGGCAACCGGCCTTTATTTGCATAGCAATGCCGGGCGCCACACCGATGGAGAAGCGGCTTTTATACCCGAATTAATGTGACTGCTACAGGAGGGGACCTTCGGAAAGGCAATTTCCCTCCGCATAATTGCAGTGTTTAGCAAAACAGCATGGCAGGCAATTTTCCAGGCAATCGGCAGAGCCGTGCACACAGAGGAGAGAGGGTGCGTGTGCGTACGTGCTGGGGGTGTGCTCTCCGGCGGTGTGTGTGCACGGTGCGAGAGGGTATGGGTGCGTGCATGTGTGCACGGGGTCGGGGAGGGTGTGCATGCTGGGGAATGAGTGTGTAGACATGCTGGGAAGGCATTGTGCATGTTATGGGGGAGTATGTGTGTGCACAGGAGGAGTGTGGGTGTGCAAGTGTGTCCAAACTATGGGAGTGTTTGAGCGTGCACACTGGGGTGTGTGTCCGTGCGTGCATGCTGGGGGAGTGTATGCGTGTGCACGCTGGGGGAATGTGTGCACACATGTGGTGGGACCGTGTGTGTGCGTGCACATGTGTGTGCAATTGAGAGCATTCGCACACTGTGTGTGTGTGTGCGTGCACACACCTGCTGGGGGTGTGTGTGTGCGAGCGCACACTGGGGAGCGTGCGAGAGCGTGTGTGCACTAGGGCAGAGTGTGCACTAGGGAGTGTGGCTGCGTGTGCCCTGTGTGCGTGCGGGTGTGGACATGCGTGCTGGGGCGGGGGGGTGCTGCGGAGAGTGGACGTGCTGGGGAAGTGGCGTGTCCTTTGGAGGTCTGCGTGCTCTGGCTCTAGGGGCCGCGGCCTGGTCTGGGGAGTTGATGGCCGGGGCTGTGGTCAGTGGAGATGAGGGACCTCGGTGCGGTGGTCGTTCCCATCCCCGGGGCTTGCACTGAACAGAGCCCCCGCAGGGCCTGGGGGCTCAGACCAGAGCATCCCCTCAGCCCTGGGGCCTCCCGTCGGCTCCAGAGAGGCTGCCCTGGTGACTCGGGGTGGGGGGGGGGCAGTGGTGAGCCCGGGGCCCTGCCCACCCACAGCCCGGCTCTGCGGGCCCACGAGGGGCGGAGAAGCAGCCAAGCAGCCTCATGCGGCTCCCCCCCCGGGGGGGAACGACAGGCCCAGGAGAGGCTGAACCCCCCCCCCCCCACGGTTCACCACAGAGCCCTGCCCCCTGCTGGACACTGAGCTTCCTCTAGCGGCTCCAGCCAGGGCAGGGCTTTGCCAGGAGTGCGGGGCGGGGGGGTCTCTGGGAGAGCATTGGGGGGGGCCTCCGGGAGTTAGTGTGGTGGGGGGCTGAGCCCAGGGATCTGGGGAGCTGTAGTGCTGCGAAAGAGAGCACGGTGCCCTCTCGTGGCCACAGCCGGCACAGCCGGTAAAGTCCCGCCCTGGCCCCAGCTCCAGGGGGCGCTGTTGGAGCCGAGGG